GCCGGCGCACGCGCGCGAATTGTTCGCTTTTTTGCCCCAGTAGGTGCAGAGTGCCAACGTTCCATTTCGCCACGCACTGTGCCAAATGTCAAAGCAGCTCATCGCCTTCCCATTCACTACATGTCGTGCTTTCTCACAGAGAAAAACACGCCAGGCCAGAGGTTTCTTCGACGAGTTTGGAAGCTTGCACTTACTGCAGTACACGGATGAGTCGCCACCGCGAGCTCCGTCAGTGCCTTTGAGTATCGAGCAAACTTTGCACGCACGAGTTCGTCGCTTCCTCTCCTTATTGTTGTTGCCAGCACGCCACTCGTCATTTAGCTGCGGTCGATGGGCGGGTTGTCGTCGGCCAGTAGCATCGCCACTTCTAGAAGGTGTCGCTTGATTCTTGGGTATTTTAGGAGACTTAGGTCCACGCATTTTCTTCTTCGGGAAGAGCTCTGCACTGAGCCCCAGTCGGTCGGAGCGCACCGTTCCAATAGAATAGAAGCCCATCATCAGTAACTCCATTGACAGCGCCACAGACGAGTAATAGTTGTCCATGACAACGAGTCGCATAGTTCCATCTGAAGATGGTTTCGGTCCAAAAACGTTGCGGAGGTTCCGACCCACAGCAGCTGGCCCTGTCATCTCGTCAGTTGAGCTGGTGACTCCTGCTATATCCTTCTTACCGCAGTAGACATCAAAACTGTTGCATACAACATAGAGCTAATGTCAGCTAGGACCATACATGATAAGAGAACTTCGGAGCCAAAAAAAATATGGACGTGTCTTTAGACACGCCCAATACTTACCGGATGCAATATGCCGACTTCGCACAGCAGAGCATAAATAATTTAGTGCCCCACTTGTGCGGCTTGTCCTTCATGAAGACACGCATACGGTTGAAAGTAGATCTCGAGGGTAGCATCGCTTCGTCAATGGCCATGATGGCAGGTGCAATGTAGCCAGCAGCAAAACGCGCTTGTAGTGCTATTATCACCGGTCGTAACTTCCAAGCACGATCAGTGAAGGCACGCTCATCGCTGTTACTGCTAAAGTGAAGGTTACGCGACACATGCATGAAGCGATCGCGAGTCATGAATTGCCCGAAGCAACCGCGGGGAATAGCCCCTTCATCAGTCGATTTCCAGTGGTTTGCCATTTTTTCCTTGTTTGGGGTTATTGATCGAGCGATCAAGAGGCCGATAAATACACACAGATCTCTAGCGGTGATGGGCGCCGCTTTCAGCACGTCTTCTCTGATACGCTCTTGCGACTTGCTCTTGAACTCGGGGTGTTTCCGCTCACGCGCCATTTGTTTTGCATGCTGTCCCTTCACCCGCTCGTCAAGTTTCTCTTCGAAGTAGTCATTCGACTCAGCAGCAATTGATTCCCATAGCTCCGGCTGGGCGAAATAAAAGAAAGCTCCAGAAGGTGTTGCGGCAGCTTGTAAAGCCTTAGCGGTAGGGCCAGACTGACCGCTGAATAGATTCGGATAGTCCTCTTGCATTGAACCTGCCGGTCGTGTTTCGTATGACTCCATCGGGTGGTCGTACGGTGTGTGCGTCACTTGATTCGACCAGCCCGTTGCAGACATCTCCCTCAGAAAATCACCTGGTACTGTTCCGGCAGATATGTTTGCCAAACCACCAACCGCCGATATGAAGTCATCGTCGAACTTTCGCTCAGGGGGGACAGGAAGCTCCACGTCCAGATCGTCAAGGCCATCCTCTGACGACTTGTCGCTTTCTTCGTCATCGTTTTCAGCATCGGACTCAAGTACAGCAAATCCAAGTTGGGCATGGCCAACTTGGTTGCCGGTTGGTGTAGCTTCAAACACAAGATACATGTTAGTGAATAGTATTATCGTGTATGTACATGATACAACATACAAGCACCTTCAACACGTAATGGATCTACCACATTGACGCCACTGCTCTCTCCAGTATCCGATTGATCATGTCGACTATCGCTGTCTTCTGACAAGACCCCACCATCTTCAGCTTCGTCAAATGCATTGTTAAGATTGCGCCGGCCTACAGGATAGTGGAGACATACACGATTAGACAATCTGCTAACATGTTCATACACGACAAGTACACTCGCCTGTCAGAGTTTCCTCTTTGTCAGAAGCTGTTTCTTCACACGCCATAGAGTGGGGAGACACTGCCCAAGTTACGTCACCACTTTGAGCAGTCACAGCGATAGGACGCGGGCTTCCACGCCTTGGCGTTACTGGACTCTCTTGTAGCTCTTCAGTGTCATGTGCTGGAGGGATACAAGCTAACGCAAAAAGACATGATTAATGTCAAGATAACATACAAGCTGCCTCACGTACCTTTAGCTGGAGCTGGATTTTGTGGCGACTCACTTTGCTGGCAGGCTTCGGACGCTGCTGTAAGCTCCGCTACGACATTAAAACGTGTCAATGCAAAGCAAACAAGTAGAAGAGCACAGGTAGTCCTACCTCGATCCATCGCGTCCAAGTAGAGCATCAACTCGTTTTCTCCAACGAAAAAGTCGACATCGCGCTTGTCCTTCTTGCTCTATCCCGGCTTCAGGTACGTGAAGTCGACCGAGAGACCGGTTGGTCTCTTCGAGTTCCATCCTGCTTTCTTCAGCTCGCACCAGCGAGCGCGGAATGCCATGACTGTGGCTTGAGTCTTGTCCGCCAAATCTTTAAATGAAACCGTTTGAATGGTGTCGGTCATTTCCCTGCCATTACTTATACGAGATTTGGCACGCATGTCTATCTCCTCTAACTTCTTATACGGGCGTCCTTTCTGCGCGACTCATCTATGCACTTCCAGCGGGAAGCTTGGATACATCACCTACCCCGCGTTGACTTGAGCTTTGTAAGAGCATATACGAAACACAAGTATAAAATTCCTTAACGTGTATGGTCCACGTTAAGAAAAGGAACGTAACGTGTAAGGTCCAGGCTCTCGGGTTCAAGGGGTTAAGAGGTTGGCTGACGAGAGCAAGACTGTCTCGGATGTCAAGGCGGAGTTTAGGACCAGGTGATTGGAGCTGGTTTGTGGGGAACGCCATCAGGGTGCAAAGGCTACGTCGGTCATTATGAGGCGTGGTGCGCAATTAATCGTCCAAAGCTTGTCGTATGAGATTTGGGGGCCGACATAACAACGCTTGGTAACTGGACAAGTTACAAGATTATTCAGACAAGAGAAACGATCTTTCGACAGATTCAACCTGTAGTTAATGCAACCCATTGATTAAACCATGTAAACGCAGTAGTTTTAGGGTCATTTACATTCATTTCTTATATTAATGGCTACCCCTTAAGCAGCATCATCTGAATGAGTTTTAATGCGTTCTTCTTTTCACTGGAGATTATACTTCGAAGTAAGAGTTTTACCTGTCCCTATTTACCATACTGTAGTTCCTATAACTCGTTTTTTACGATAGCCTCTTCATCTAATTTGAAAGTAAATAGCGGGTTGTATTTAAATAAACCAGTTTTTAGTCGTTAAATTAAAATATCGATTCTTACAAATTTGTTAAAAAATCGAAAGAATTTAAGAATGAAACTGGAAATTGACAAAACAATGCAGTCGTTTCCTTGAATGTACCCGCGTCACTACATGCTAACATTCAAGTGATAGCGCGACCCCGAAAACCCGGGTTGAGACAGTGGCTAACTTGATCGGGAAATGGCGTCCTAGGCGGTTTTGCAGTGATGTGTTTTCGTAGCTGCAGTACAGTAGTACCAAAATGCGGGGACATCCTTCGACGGGACACTAAACATTACCAACAACAGCGGCATGCACATAATGCGTAAGCGAAAAAAATCCTGTTCTTCCTTTACAATCTTGAGTAGCATCACACAGAGCTCTAGTGAGCACTGAGGAGGTGACTCTCCATGTTTTCGGTCTACGACTAGGGTCTTTTATCGTACCAATCACCAAATTGTTTAAAGAATTTCCACTTGGAGCTTCCTGGATGCAAATTAGGGCCACCGAAATCCATATAGGCCTTCCTTGCGTCAGTGTATTTTTTTTTTCCAGTTTCTCGAACGCTTTCAGTTTCGCTTTACCGCTGCCCAAAAGTTTTTTAAAGGTTGACTCCGAAGCATTTTCGATTCTACCGAAAAGGTTGGTAAACCATCCACGTTCTTCCGCTGCAACAGACTCTGAGTCGTGGCTGGGATAGTTGACGCTCTTCTGAGATGCTTTGGCGGCTTGCCTCAAAAATCTTTTTGCCGTGGTACCACCAGTAATATCAGCAGAAGAAGTAACAAGCAGATCGGAGTTTCCGCTCAGTATCTTGACTTCCATAGCATCTGAGCTAGTGGCCACGTTGGCGAAGAAAGCGAGAGCTACAAAAAGGAGGGTACACTGGAGCGGGGATATTGATGGCATGAGAGCGATCGCTGCACCTGTGAGGATGCGGGGAAATTGGGAAGTGAGCGTTCGGTAGCCTACCATTGGTAGTAGTTTTTCTGAAGCAAATACCGGCTCATGTACATTTAAGTACAGTTTCTAAGCGTATCAACCAGGAGCCACGGGATCATGATATGGATGCTATGATATAATACAATGGTATCCGCGGCTCACATCGTCGACCATACAAGCAACGCAATCTGGCGGGCGAATGTAACGTTTCTAAGCAACGTCTTGTGATGAGACACGTCATCATTGTACATATTGCGTGTGCGTTCAAACAAAGAACACCTTTTTACTAAAGTGATTATCTATATATCGCCTAATTTGTTGCTCACTCTATTCATAAATCAAGAGCTGTATTAGCGACGCTGGCGGGTAGACACTCAGAGCACGAATAAAGCGAATGCACGGAACTCGGGGTTCCATGATCGGGCACTTCAAGGCACAATCACGTAGGTATATTAAATATAATGTCTATTCGTTCACTCTCGGCATCCAAGGCAGCACTGGTGTACTAGGTACCAGAGAACCAGAGAGTAATATTCTCTGGTACTTAGTACACCACTGCTGGCAAATATTATTTAACCCCTCTGTTACCGCCAAATGAGCCCGTGAACCACTAATTTTACGTCATAACTTACGGCGTAGCTTTTACCAGCGCGTTTGTATGGTGCTGTATCTTCCACTCGCCTATCCAACACGATAGGAGGTATACGCTCTCAAAGGTTTTGACACACGATGTCGTATATCATACGACGTAAGGATGACCCATACGGCACGGACACTGTGACGGGGTCACACAGCACCTTGCGCTAGAGGAAGTTATCTTCCGAGAGTATACAACCTCTCAGTGAAGGGCAGCTCACAGGTCCTCTCTTTAATTAAAGAGATAGATTGTAAACTGAGTATATTTATAGGTAGGTTAAGTTTGGGTTTAATACAAACTGTTAGTTACCTATAGAAATGCAATGTCATTTAACCAATGGTTGGCTTTGAACGACCTTGGTACCTTGTACCAAATATCTCGGAGTATGACGTGTCATACTCCCGAAGTGTGAAGTGTCACACTTCATCTAACCAGGGTACACTTAGGGCTACGTACCCCGTTACATCCTCCCCCACTTAGGCTCGGTTTACCGACCAATCAGAATGAAGAGGTGTTCGTCACAAACTCTCATTCTCAAAGTCGAAAACCATCGACTTGGGCGCGCGAGCGCGGCGGAGGCTCACTTCACAGCTAGAGCCTCGAGCAGCAACCTGTGCGCTCTTCGTCTAGGTCTCCACTTCGACCGTTAACATGCCTCGTGGCACTGCTAAGAGCGGTGCTAAGACACGCTCCAAGGCTGCAGCCGGTAAGGCGCAGGCCAAGAGCACTAAGCCTCACGGCAAAGGCTCTGCACTTAAGATGGCTGCTCAGGTGGCCTCCGAGGCGATCGGTTCCTCAGGTGACGCGGCTGTGGACAAGCGCGCAAGCAAGCGCCGCAGCTCGTCGCCCTCATCTTCAGACAATCGTCCGAACCCTTGGTTCGTAGAACGTGAGTTCAACTCGGACAGTGAGGACGATGCCGAGTCCGGGAGCACTCATGATGCTCCTGCGGGCTCTGTGGGAGGGCACAACCCAGTGCCCAGTGAACACAAAGATGACAGCGTACAGTCGCCCGCTAGTGATCAAGGTGATCACAGTCCGAGGACCTCTGTGCGCTCTGAGAGTCCGGCCGTCAAGGCTAAGGACGCTCCCAAAGCCGGTGGCGATGGGGAAGGGAATCCTCGCAAACGTCTCTCGCTTGCCGACGGTCTTGCGCGTGCTAAGGCCTTCAAAGCCGAAGGCGCCAAGCCTCAAAGAAGCGTACTGCCTCTAAGTCTCCACTCCGCGAGAAGAAGGAGACTCGTCGCTCCTATCGGAGTATCTTCGACTCCTCGGATGAAGAGGAGGAGAAGGAAGAAGAAGAGGAAGAGGAGGGTGCTATCGTTGAGCCCCGGGAGGTCTCGAATGACCTCGACCAGCAGCAGGAGGATTTCCAAGCTGCCCAGCGTGTGCGTGGGGGCTCAATGGCGGCACCCGTCAGCCAGGGAGCTGCCATCAACTCAAGAGGGTATTGGCCTCCCGAGGAGAGCTCTGGGGCTGACCTCTTCTTAGAGCTTCTCGTCGCTCCTCCTGGCCTTGTGGTCGGCCACACTTCTAGGGGCATCTATGAACGAGCCCTTGTTCATAAAGAACAGTTGTTCGTCGACAACTTGGAGGCTGCTCGGTGTGTGCTTCTCGCGCCACACCGCATCCCTCTTAAGGACTTCACGACTTGTCGTAAGAAGCCCGAGACCCGGGGTGGTCTCTATCCTCTTTGGGGCTACCCCTGGGTTCTGCCCGAGAACTGTCCCACGTGGAGTTCTTGTGAGGACATGTTCTAAGCATCGGTGGAGTCTCTTAAGTACTCACCCACGGAGTTACGGGAACTCCATGAAGATCAGCAGTTGTCCCACATCCTGGACCAGCGTGATCTTCGTGTGAGGTTTGCCCACTTGATCAGCAAGCGTATGCTGCCAAGGGACATTCTGAAGCGCGCGGCTTCTAGCGCTCACGATGAGCGCGGGTACGGTATGTATTCATCGACCGTACCCCGTTCGGGCAAGAAGCCCCGGACTACTAATAAAGCTGCCGCCGCTTCTGTTCCCTGATTGCGACAGCCTTCGGGCAGTCAATCAGGAGCCGTTCAATCGGCTCCCACGAGTTCTCGGAGTGGGCATAGCCCCTCCACTTCACGAGGGCTGTCGCTTGCCGCGACACTGTTGCTCCTAGAGAATTCCGCTCCACGTGGAAGTGGACTTCTCCATTCCGGTCAAGCAGAGGCGGACGTGCCTCCTACGAGTACTCGGCGCTTCCCGAGAGCACTCTCGTCCGAGTGCTCCGACTGCGGGTCGACACGGGACCCTAAGGCTGACCGCCTCCGTCAACGTGTCCCCGTGCTTGAGATTGCACTTGGCCCTTGGGACTGGCGGTAATGCTGCCCGCCCAGGCCTGGAATCAGGGCGAGCTCGCTCGACTTGCGGGCCGCCTGGACCTGGTGGAGCGAGAGGTCGCGAGCCTGCACCTGCGGGTGGATAGCCGGGCCTCTTCGTCCGATCTGGACGAGGCCCTTCGCATGTTCCGACGGATCGAAGCTTTGTTGCCACGTCCGGAGCCGCCTGCGGCACTCTTAGACGTACGCGTATGGTGCGTACCCGGCGTACTCAGCGTACTCGGCGTATGGCGCCGGGGTCCGTTCGTATGGAGCCCCTCCGGCGTACGGTCTTGACCGCAGCCTTGCCGTCCCGACCGAAGCTTGGGTGCCTGCTCCGACGCCCTCGTCGACGACTGTGACCGGCCCTCGCTTCGAGGAGCTGGGTCAAGGGGGGTCGGCGAGTCAGCAACCCCCTGCGGGTCAAAGTACCGCTTAAGACGTCCGACATAGAACGTCGGGTGCGTCGTCATTGACTTTGGAAGGTCGATGGTGTACGACGCAC